ACTATTCAATAAGAAAACTACTAATCTTGAAAATGAAACTTAAAGTTCAAGCCAATTATATTTATCCTTATTAGAAAATCATTTGGGATGTATTTGTTACTTTCTTTAAGTATACATTTGTTTCCTCAAAAATCCTCAAGTGGCTTTACATGTGCAAAATCTGGATGCAAGCGTGCCATTTATTTTTTTGAAAAGCGAAAAAAAAAAAAAAAGATTTTTCCAACGACCCTCTCCTTCCACGCGATCGACCTCTGTTAGGATAGCTGGAAGAATGTTGATTTAAGACTGAGTTTTGCATCCCTCAGAGGATTTGCAAAAGGGAGGGATGCCTTCCTGTAGAATGAGTTGCTAATCTGCCTTGGACAATTTCAAAGACTTTACCACTACTGTGAATTTAAGTTAATAGATCCAAAATGAACTGAATGAAAGATAAATTAGAGTAAACATGACGTTTATTGCATGAAAGGAAATTAGAGAAGCAATTACACAAACTAATTTGGGTACTTGAATCTTGAAAACAACCTAAATCTACTGAGATTTGTGCTAAAACTGAAATTTAAAAACTAAAGTGAGCAATTACTATGAAACTAGAGAATTGAAAAATTGATGAGTTTTTGTGTAGGGCTAGCTGTGTCTTGAAAAAATTCAAAAAGCTTCTATTTGTATCCTTTCTGCAAATTATTTCTTGGCTGATCAGATCATGGATAACTTCCTCCCAAATTCTAGGGATTTTTGTTCCTTTTAAATTCAAGCTGCAACAAATCAGATAACCTTTATCCTCCCAACCAACTTTAGAGATACTCATCCCTTTAGTGGATTTAATCTTACTTTATCCATTGACACATGGCATCAATTAAAAAATGTAATTTATGGTGTAAACAATATCTATGTTTTGAAGCAACGAATGGGAATATATAACAGTGATGTTAACTTTATTGTGATAAATTAGGAATACCATTTTTTATTGATAAACTAAAGGTATTTTATCAAGATGATATAAGGTATCTCAATCTAGGAAGTTAGGAATAAAAGTTAGGAATAACTTAAAGTAAAAGTGCATTATGTCAGTTGTGATTTTAAAAAAATTGCAATCTCAATTTTGAATGATATCAGTTTATTTAATTAAAATTCAATTTAAAATTTAAATATTCATTTTATTAAATGTTGATATTTGAATTTGACAAATCTAAGTATTAATATTTAATAAAGTAAAGGTTTAAATTTTGAATTGAGATTTCAATTTTAAATATAAATTAAGATTCTAATTTTTTTAAGAAGTTGAGATTAACGCACATTATATGCATAACTTAAAGTATACTCTAGTAGGCTTGTATCTATAAATATAATGGATCTCATCGTCCTCGGAGCCCATCAAACTCTAACACACAAAAAAAATTAGGTGGAAATACACTTCAAAATTATGTTCTTAAGTTCTCCCATCTATCTCCGATTGTGAAATCAAGCACCTTGGAACTGCAAGGGCGAAGACTAGGGATATTCTTTGAATCTAGAAAAAAAAAATGAATAAAGAAAGAAAAGTTTTTGCTCTCTGCTGCTTGAAACCGAAGTCTTACTCTTATAGGCGGGGGGAGGGAAGAACTTATTCTTTCTTGCTCTCAGGGTTTTTTGATCAACAAGACAAAAATTTAGTACTTGAAGTTAATTCAACTCAACTTAAAAGTTAACATGTGGAGCTTTACTTTGTTAGTTGCATATTCTCATTCTTTACCTCAATTTGCAAAGAAAAGTTTGTAGCTAGGGATCTTTCTTTTTCCATCTTGGCTCCTATGCACATTTCTTTGCCATGATGTGTAACTTTTATTCGGTTGTGTAACTTGAGTGGATTGCATAAGCGATTTAAGGGTATATAAATCGTTTTTCTTCTT